GGGTTAATACTCAAAGGTAAGAGAAGATTGACAAAACTAATGGCCTAAATAGTTAATTAGCCAATCAGTTCGGTTTCATGTTATTGTGGCTAACTCTATCGGTCTTTGGGCCAATCGCCCATCCTTCAACTTGACTGCGTAGCCCTGGGCACGCCAATGCAAGTGGGACGCAACTGTCCAATTATGCTTGATTTGATCCCTACGCCCTGACCGTCTAGCAAGGGGTCCCACTAGCAACTCATTCGGCTAGTGACATGGCAACATAATTAAAGGCGTTACTCTCCTTCCCGTCAGACTGCAATCGGTCGCCGATGTGCTTGGTCCGACCGCGTATTGCTGTAATCAGTCCGTGTTAAAGGCCGGTACCTAGGTCTTGGCCGATGCGCTTCTAATGTAGACCGATGCATACCACATCCAGGGTTCTGCCTCTATACTATACTCTAAAAGTTTCTCCGAGCGAGGTCGTAAGCATGTGATCATGAGAGTGCTGGGGTAGTCGACCCCTCCAGGCTAACCGTGCGGACGGCGATCTCTCTAATCTGGAGTGTAACGCGGAATTCTTATCCCCTCCGCCGGATGCCAATGCGGCTTTGAGGCGCCTCTGGCGCCTACGCCGAACTAGGGATCACGCTACCACGGCACTCGAGCGGTCGGAACATGCGCAAATGCAACCGCTAGGGCAGCCAATCACGTGCGCGCACAGATTCCGAAACCACCCAATCAACTCACAAAGCTCACGCTTATACATGCACGCGCGCGAAGGCCCAGGGTCGGCCGAGAAGGGACTGGTGCATCCATCCCATGCAACTGAGTCACGCAGTCTTTCTGAACAGTTCCATGTCTGCAATCAGCAAAAGAAACGCTCTGCATAATTGCCCTGAGTGCCTTAGCTGGATCCTTCCCGATATAAAACTTAAAATGGAAGGGAAGCTGCGGATACCATCCTCGGCTTCTGACGCCCTCGTAAAGAACACACAATACTTTCCCTCAGATTTTATATCAACCACCCAATTGTAAAACATAAGCCACGTTGGGGTCCTGCTAAGCAGAACAGGCACACAGTGCTGCACTATGAAAACAAATAGTGAGGACACCGCTTTCCGCGCGACCAGCCTAGAAAGTACGGCTATTGACTTAATCGAGGTCAACAGTCAAGTGCAACCTGTCACATTCTTGGTTCCGACTGTGTCTGAAACTATTCAGGTCACACTGAACGACAACGGAGTCCTGAATCACGTGAATATTCTAAAGCAGCTCGACGGGGAGGTCCAATATCACTAGAAGATTGAACGCTGGCAGCAGCTAAATGCACCCTCCGATTTTGTGGCCAGGAGTCGGTGGTGGTGGAACCGTTCGCGCAGTGGTCGGGACATTGGACTCAACGTGAGCATCACGGAATAGGTAGATTGAACTCGCACTGGCGTACCAAGGAGTTCGCGGCCAAACAGAGGGAGGAAGTCCGGCCAGGGGATTGGAGGCTGGCACAGAAGTTCGATACATTTAGTTACGATGGTGTTATAGCCGCTCCAGTTCCCTTTATTCTCCGCCTGCTACAATGGCACGAGACCGACTTGAGCCACAATTTTTAGGCTTCGTTGTTTTTCCGATCTGATAGTCGATGCGCTTCTGGTGTAGAACGCTACATACCACATCCAGGGTTCTGCCTCTATACTATACTCCAAAAGTTTCTCCGAGCGAGATCGTAAGCATGAGAGTGCTGGGGTAGTCGATCCCTCGGGGTTGACCGCGCGGATGACAATCTCTCTAGTCTTTGTTTCTGGAGCGCAACACGGAATTCGTATCTCCGCCGGATACTGATGCGGCTTTGAGGCGCCTCTGGCACCTACGCCGAGCTAGGGATCACGTTACCACGGCACTCGAGCGGTCGGAACAGGCACGACTGCAGCCGCCAGGACAGCCAATCAAGTGCGCGCACAGATTCCGCAATCACCCAATCAACTCACAAAGCTAACGCTTATTCATGCACGCCCACATTGAACTACGCATCAAACGCGCGTGCGCGCGCGCGGACCCAGAGCCGGCCGCGCCGGCAACTGAGTCTCGTAGTCTTCCCGAAAAGTTCGATGTCCTTGCAATCAGCAAAAGAAACGCTCTGCACAATTGCCCTGATTGCCTTAACTGGATCATTCCCGATATAAAACTTAAAATGGAAGGGAAGCTGCGGATTCCGCCCCCGTCTTCTGATGCCCTCCTCAACAGACAATCGAATGAACACACAATACTTATCCTCAGATTTTATAGCAACCACCCAGTTGTACAACAAAAGCTACGTTGGGATCCTGCTAAGCAGAATATGCACACAGTGCTGCACTATGAAAACAAATAGTGAAGACACCGCTTTCCGCGCGACCTGCTTAGAAAGTGCGGCTATTGATTTAATTCAGGTCAACAGTCGAGCGTGACCTGTCGCATTCTTGGTTCTGACTACGTCTGAAACAATGCAGGTCACACTGAACGACGACTGGGTCCTGGATCACGTGAATATTCTAGAGCAGCTCGACGGGGAGGTCCAATATCACTAGAAGATTGCATGTTGGCAGCAGCTAAATGCACCCTCCGATTTTGTGGCCGGGAGTTGGTGGTGGTGGGACCGTTCGCGCAGTGGTCGGGACGGTGGACTTAAAGTGAGCATCACGGAAAAGGTACGTCGAACTCGCACCGGCGTATCAAGGGGTACGCAGCCAAACAGAGGAATGCAGTCCAGCCAGAGGATCGGAGGCTGGCGCAAAGGTTCGATACAGTTAGTTAGGATGGCACGAGACCAGCATGAACCACAATTTGTAGGCTTGCTTGTTTTGCCGATCTGATAGTGTATCCAAGATCCGGTTTGGAATCCCACATTACCGAGATAATGTTCATAGTAAGTTGTTGTTATGACGTCACTGTCTTTATCGTTTCCAGAGCATCCCTAGAATTTTGGATCGACATTTTGGGGGTTCTTATGAACAACGAACCCTTTGTTAGTACCCTGACAGCACAAACCTGCTGTAGTTTATCCTACCTAGCACCGACTTTACGTTATCAGACACATTTAAGGAGATGTATTCTGGGGTGTGCTTTTGAAAAGTTTCCATCTACTACGGCGGAAACAGTTTGTAATAGGCAACAAACAGTCAAAGGCACTTGCGGAAAAAAAATCGGTCCAAAAGTTTTGTACAGTGGGTGGGCTAACTCATGAAATGCTGACCGAAATTCCGAAATGCATTTTCGTTTCGAAAAGATTAATTAAGTAGGGCTTTAAAACTAATCATCCTGCAGCATAATTGTAAAATAATTAAGGTACCTCAGGATGTCGGCCTTCGAACGAACTTCTTTCCGGTTGCATGCGAAAACGATACTCTGTAAAGAATGATTACTTAAGTAGCATGCATTCTTCTCCTTTATGTTCGATGCCGTTAAAAATTCAATTATATTTCATGGAAAAAGGCATAAATATTCATTCTTTTGCTCATTCGGTAGGAAATTACATCGTCTTTCAAGTTCATACTCGAAGGAAAGGTATAGTTCGGTTTTCAAAAAGTTTTCCAGTTCCCGAATAATTTTGAACTCGACCTGCCGTTACACTTGCATTCAGGGTTTCCAAACTACAAGTCGTATATTTTTCGCGTACGGGAACCATACATTTTTCTTCGGTATTAAGAAGAAGCGATATGGGGTTCGTAAAATTCGGCAGTGGATTTGATCCATATTGTTAACTTTACAAACCACATTGGTAAATGCAGAGACATGACGATTTATGAAGGGCCATTTCACGATATTTAAAAGTCTCACAAATAAAAACTTTTTTAAAACCGAATTATGTCCCTCTTTTGAGTGTAAAATTGGAAGAAGACGTTATTTTCTACCGGATGAGCAAGAGAATGAATATTTTTATGAATGTTTTCCGTGAAATATAGTTGGACATTTAGGGGCATCGAAAATCAATAAGGAAAATACATGTTACTCAAATTGTCATTTTTTACAGAGTATCGTTTTTGCATGCAGCAGGAAAGAAGTTCGTTCGAAAGCCGGCATCCTGAGGTAACTGAATTATTATAGAATTATGCTGCAGGAGGATTAGTTTTACAACCCTACTTAAGTAATCTTTTCGAAACGAGAACTTTTCGGAATTTCAGTTGACAATGACGCGTAGACGCGCGACTTTGTCAGCTGCTGCACCCAAGTCTACCTCCGGTCTTCTTGACAAGGCGGATTCTGCGAAGGCCTACCTCATTACGAACTAATTCGCACACACGTTACCGTCTTGTACCTACTCCGTGGGGCACGCGGTGGACCTGTCGAAAGTGTAGGGGAAACTAACGAGTACTACTTCCGTGGTTCATTTCTGATGGGGTGGAGAGGGAGGTAGGAAGTGAAATGCAGAAAGTTCTCCGGCGTGGTGGTGTTTAACAAAATGACAAGAGGTTAACCCATTAGAAAACCACCAGCGGGTTTTGCGTTAGACCACAGCGAGACCGTATAATAGGGACATGACATCAAGCTGCGCAGTTTGTGCACTCATTGAGACTACCGGAATAGTGGTCTTCCTCGGAAAGTTCTGAATGTCGTGCAGTTACGGCAAGAGGCTTGTAATGCGTAGAATTCAATAATTTCATTGGTAGAGGGGCACTGACCGATCGTTCTTACGGGACTCACTCGTTCCGTTGTGCCTTATGGACTCTCTCTCTCGAGCCCAACCAGCAGCCGCACAGCTGCGCATGATATATGCGGAATGGCATTACCGACAAAAACAAGGCAGACCGGAATGGCCATTTCTGGCTTATTAGCCGTCGTCAGCCAGCCATACCCAACTCCGAAGTGTGGAACACCTGGGGCTCGAACTCGCGACCTGTTAGCTAGATGTCCAACGCCTCATTATGGTAAACAGTTTGACTCTCAAACCAGTTAAATCGGGGTCTGTTTCGATTTATATCGTCAACTACCCGACTACGAACTCCGCTGTTTGTATTTCCGAAAATCATGGCGGATCACAGACCTGCATGCGTGGTGTATCATCTTGGGCGAATCCTTCTCGCGCGGACGGAGCAGTTCGCTCGGTCGTTGAATGGGCCCATCACGATGACCTTGAAAGGTAAGGCGTGATTGGTGGAAGTAGGTCGGTAAATGCAAATTTGCGTTGGCACATACTCATGATATGACAAGCGCACGCCGATCCTCCGGAGTTTTTGTTGTCTGTGGTTTACTCATCTCCGCAGCGTCAGGCCGCGTGGCAGTTGTAGTATTTTTACATTGTGCCACGAATTTTTTCTTTGCCTGCGAATTCAAGCCCTTGTTATCGGAGTTGCGAAAATTCCCACAGAAGGATTCGGAGGATTAGTTGGCGAGCCTACGTGGGCTTTTAACAAGTTCTCATCCGGTCAGTACATTCATACTGGGAACGGGACACAAGTAAAGCATGTGAGTGCTAAGAGAAATCGATTACGGTTCGTCTTTCCGCACAACCGGGGTGTGGGAATAGGACGGGGGAAGGAGAGACACACAGAGACAGTGAGTCAGGGGGCTGTGAAGGTTAGGGAGAAGGGGGGGGAGAGAAGGCGCGGAGGAGTGCGTGCAGTTGACCGGCCTCTGGCCACGGTAGGTGTGGAGACTGCACCAGTTTCTTCTGTGCGTAGAAGGTCGGGCTGTGTAGCCTGTTGGCATCCGCCTCTGCTGTTGTTGACGGGCGCTGACCCTGTGATTTAGGTTGGTTCGTTGGGACCCCGTGAATCACTCGGAAGGCCTCGCTGGCGTCAACAGGATATCCCAAATCAGCAATAGCGGCGCTGTAAATGCTTTTAATTTCGCTTTTTGTCAACTGTGCCGAGAGAGGTTCCTAGATTCTTTTGGATAGGCGCCTATTCATGCGACCAAAAAAATAACCTGTTCCAAAGGAGCAAGTAGAGGAGGTGGCCCGAGCTGGCAACCTATCCGCGTAAGACAGGGTTGGTTGGGAATAGTTTCCGAATTCTTGCTGCTGGGAAGGTTTTTGAAACAGCCTGGTCAAGGCGTATCCTCAGCAATTCACTCGCTGAGTCCCCTTGAAAGGGGACTTTGAGGGACAGAGTTTTCTCTTCCGCTGTCAGTGTGATTGGTTTTGCGAGTCTGCGGGTAATATTCTTTGCGGCAAATTTGTCAAAATATCCCCTCTCGCAAGACATGTCCTGAATCTTCTTAATTCCCTCGACAATGCTGTCTACCGCATATAGCATTCTAGCCCTTTGCGCCAAACAACGGAGCAGATTGCGTTCCCGTTGAAGGGATACGAAACTGCAGGCAAAGGTTTCTTCCTATAGATACTCCTCCAAACGCTATCGTCAGGTCTCCTGTTTAAAAGGACGTCTAAGAACAGGAGCACACCTGCCTTTTCAACCTCCACCGTAAACTTGATCGGCGGATGTGCCTGATTTACAGTATGCCAGAGTGCAGCTATGTTGGCTTCTGCAGTGGTGATTGCGAAGATGTCATCAAAGTTGACGACCGTAATGTATTACCGTGTCGATGTGGTCACTTAGTAGCTATTTCTCCAGCTTGCCTATGAAGACATCGGCTAAGAGAGAACCAAGAGGTGAACCCCTTAAAAACGCCGTCTATTTGTGTATATTGTTGGTTGTCAAAAAGGAACCGCGCATTTATAGTGTATCTTAGTAATAATGCTTTGAGTGAGTTCATCGGTCAATAAGTATTCGCAGATGCAATAGACCGTCTCGGTGACAGCAAGATTTGTAAAGATTGATGAGAGACGTCTAGCAAAAACGCCACCATTCATCTTAAGTTCGGGTCTCTGAGGTCGTCAGCTGCGTGGTAATAGCCGGTACTGTGCGGGCCTTAACTTATCGGCTAACCACTTAGTTGTTGCATGATGCGGAGGGGTGCGCATGTCCGAAATCCAACGACCTGTCAGGCCGTCCTTGTTGACCTTCGGCGGACCATACAATCAAGGGATGTGTGTGCGCCGATTGGTCAGAAGTGTCGAAGGTCACGGTCGCTTTGGAAACCCCTTGCGTGAAGTTTTTGTAGACAGATGGTTAATGGTGTCTCTATTAAGACTACGCAATCCATTTCCCGGTCTACTTTCCCGGGTTTCTTCTGGTCTGACAATATCGACCGCATCTTTTAACCATTCCATTTACCGGGTAGCATTGCTTTCAGCAAGTTGCGGACCGTTCCAAATAACATCAATTGGGAGGAGAAGGAGGAGGAGGAAAAGGAGGAGGAGGAGGAGGAGGAGGAGGAGGAGGAGGAGGAGGAGGATGAATGATCACTTTCTTTAGCTTATCGGTTGGTGGAGCCTCGTTAACTAGCAGCTACAATGACACTTATCCCGGATTAGCTTCGGCAGGTCGTCATTTTACGAGATCACTATATCCGCTAAAAACCACATGAAGGGCGCAATACGTAGTTCTAGGAACTATCACTGACATTTCCTTACTGGGCCCGAACTCGGGCTTAAAAGGAGCAGACCTGACTGGCTTTCACGCTGGAACGTGCCCGGTTCGATCGTAGCATAGATAATCAATGCCATATCTATGCTCTCAACAAAAGACACGATTATTGAAATATTCTGTCATACGTCTGAACTAGCATGTTAAATAATTTCAATCTTGTGTCGCATTTGGATCGACCTAAACAGTAATTTTAATCAAATCAAGACGTACAGTAAAGGGGACTGGGGAATGGGATCAGTCATTTCAGTAACTGACGAAACGAAAGCCCCAGCCGTCTAAAAAGTCTTTTGTACTCGCACAACGGAAGGGCTTGTAGAGAAGCTCCCCCCGTCTCAAAAGTAACTGAACCGAACGGGGTGAAACCATAGGAACGTAATTTATTCACAAAACCCAAGAAAATGAGAGGACACGAACCTGCAGGAGATAGAGAAAGAAGATGATGGCCAGTGGACCCAACTCCTCGCGCACTCCCCGTGGTAATAACATCCCCACTGCCAGCGCCAGGCCTTGCTTGAATACTCTGTCGGCAGGTGCGAACACGCAAGTTCTAGTCTGAAGAATATGCACTTCAGACTGCCAGCTGATTGGTTGGTGTCCTGACCAATAGCGACGTAGTCGCGTTCACTAAGCCGAAGGGCGCGGAGTTTCATCGCGGGCCGATTTATGCGTAGTGTGCAATGGACAACGGCACTTTTCACCGAGGGGCTTTTGCGAGACCTAGGATGTCTGTGAAATATCCACACTAAACGAACAGCCAGTGTGCAGACCTCTAGCTATACCGAAGAGTTCAAACAGAGGGTGGGTGATGAGACCCTGCAGTCACGAAACAAGAGTGGAAAGAGTGGTAATAATAACAATAATAATAAGAACAGCGGCGGCAAACAAAAAATGAACAAAATCTCCATGCGCAGAGTACTGTGCACTGCAGACAAAAAGTGCAGTTTACGAGGTTTTTGAAAGCAAATGCATACGTTTATCCCAAAAGATTAGTAAGCAGTAAAGGTCTCCTTGCCTAGAAGTTTGAGCATCGTTTGGCAGCTAAACTAGTTCGGCAAGATAAAAAATTTGTGTGAGCAGAGAGGATTCTCCGCGGACACAGTTGTTACTCTAGGAAGGCCAAATGACATTGGGGAGGCTGGATAGCCCTGGATTGTGTTAGGCCCATGCCTAGTCATCAGAAAAATAGTACACTTGGGAGTAGGATATTCATAAACCTCGGATATGATGGCAGCAATCCTTCTTCACCTCTTACGATCCCATAATCCACCTGCTAGGAGATCCAATCGCGAACTCCACAAGTTTGGGTAGGAGTAGAGAGGCAAGAACGGGTGAACATTGGCACATTTGCAAGCAAACTTTAATCAAAGCAAGGAACGGTCCGTCTGACAGTGTACCAGTAAAGTCGGACAGTCTTATCGATCGAAACTGAAGACGTTGCACCAGTAGTAAATGACAGGATTCAGCGACAACGTGCAAGATTTCAGTTCCGCCTGACTACAAGAGGAGGCATGCGCCGGGGAGATGTAATCCCGTTCTGAGATCTCAAATAACAAATTAGCTTACTCGTATACAGCAACTGAAAAGTCGTGTTGGTAACACGAGTTACGCCAGCCATTTGACTCGGTTATCAGTGGCGAATATTGGTGAGTCATGCACCACTGCACCGTCGTGGCCGCCGTCACGCCAATTCGCCTCGACTGCGGCGATAATTGACGTGCCAGACGGTCGATGACCTTGAGCAACTTTTGCTGCAGGTAGGCTGATATGCCTGCCGAGCAAGGGATCTTTTGACAGTTGCCTTGCCCGGATTTACTTTTAAGTAGTTTAACGTTCCACCAGTTGAAAACTTACCCACATCCGGTCGGCTGCTATCGAGACCAATCAAATCAGAGATCAGATTTAAATCTATGGTAATTGTAACTTCTGGTTGGTTTATGGTTATCTGAAAAGCGCAGGTGGGTTCAAAGATACCATCCAAGTTTACATCGTTTTTATAAGTAATATATATATATATATATTTGAAGGTAAATAGGTTCTTTGGAAAAAGGAGAAAACTTTATTGAGTAAATTTTCGACGTCGGTTCCCCGTGTCGTCGTCAGACTCGAGTAAATGTGCAGAAACCAATTAATATTTCAAACGTGCTACAAAAGCAATACTCATTTGGAGCTTCAGCCAGTAAGCGGCCGTCGTATGTGTCAGTCCGTTTTGATCGGCTTTCGTCTCTTCCACTTTTCCCTGAGATTTTTGTACGTGGCATCTAACTCGATATGCCTGTTGCTGCATGACTCCTCGGAGTGCATGGCTTCAGAGGGGAGTTGACATAGTCTGGGGGGTAGATTTATAGAGAACTGTTTCGGCTTGTTTGCTTCAGGAAGCCAGTGGATTGGTGTGCACCCATTCCTGACGGAATAAATAACCGATCTGCAGCGACAGAGAATGACAGGTGGCGAGGCACTGATGAACTTCGGTTCGATGAAGTGCTTATGACCTATCTGGTAGACCCCAGTGGTGGACCAGCTGCTCCAGGTGTGTCTGTACGCATGTTTGCGCTTCCGGTCTCAGCTGGTGGTCAGGGTTATGATTGGCTGAATGAAGGCAAACGAGCCCAAAAGAGTTCCGTATCAATCTACACAAAAATACTCTTTCTGGTACTCAGTTGGTAGAAAACTACATCTTCAAATTTTATGCTTGAAAACGGGTATCATTCCTTATGCGAAACGTATGTAATTAAGAGAATTTTTAAGGGCGTGAAATATCCATTCAAAAGCATTACACAAGTCCAAATATAGATGTTGTTTATATATATATATGTATGTATGTATTTGTAAAGCGTTAAATATGCTAAGGTTCTCAAACTAGCCCCGCCTAGATGAGATCGCATGAAAACGTATGAAGGGCTTATAGTAGGAACAGTCTCGTGACGTGAGAATAGTATTTAGAAACGATCTTCATATCGAAATTTAACAATCTGTTTGCCAGACAGCATTTAACTACGACTATTTTTCCACTGTTTCTGTTTATTTAACATGTCAAGTGATTTAGAAAAGCAAGATGAACGGCACAGCGTAGAGCAGTCAAGATGCATGTTGCCGAGTTCCCTAAAATCCCACTTCCTGCTTATGAAATATCCATTATCGGTTTTAGATTACCATGCCAATGTGTTATCGTCGGGCCCATAGTATGTCCTTTTCTCCTTTGTGAAGTCATGCGACGGAGGTCTAAATCTCCTCAAAATCACTATTGTGCGCCTCTCACCCCCGTTAGACCGGAGACACACGATAAGTTTACAGTCTCATATACTACTTGGTAAGTGTCAGTAACATTTATTTATCGTATTAACCATATGAATATTCAGATCAGTCGCCTTCGTTGGAGCCGAGGGCATGTAACACGATCGGCCTAGTAGAAACCACCAGTTCATCAGTGTTCTGCAGACTCCCACATTTCGGGCCCACAGTACCCTAGGTCACAGGTCGTGAAAAAGTCCTGGGCTTGACGAATGCGGTTTCTGGACTATCCATCAACTGGACCGAAGAGTTGTTGGTTACTCCGCTATAAGGTAGGAATGGATGGTGCGTTGATGGCGGTAGTAGTATTCATAGAAGGGAAGGGCAAGTCTCGGGACGATTCAAAGGGGAGAGAAGGTTGATGTGGTGGGGATTCTGTGCGCCGCTTGGCTGCATATGGCAACCGGGGACCAGATCCGGGCACGGCGGTCGTTATTAGGGATGCGCATACATAACGCGTGCCACACAGAGGGGGGTTGTAGGTATTACACCCAGACACAAGCCCTCGTCGTGCCATCCTCCTGCACCAAATCCTGAATTTGGTCTCCTCGAATCCATCTTGATGCCGGGCCCAGGTGGCTGAGGAAGGAGAGGATGCGACGGGTGCTGCGCAAGTCTACTATAAATATAAATTAATTCACGCTCAATTTACCGTCACCACTCCCACACTGTTGTGTGGCACGTAGTGCACCTCATGGTAATCGATGGTCGGACTGCCACACATGTGGGAGAGATTTCAATCAGTGTGTCATTTCAATTAAAAGAGTACATTCATTGACAGTCAACGTAAGTATTGCATACTGCTTAAGCACTTATTCCCCCCTGCTTATGGTTTCCCAGGTGGGTGAAGACACACTCAACAAAAGTGAGAATGTGGCCTCTTCAAATAAAAAAAACCACACAGCTCTGCTCCGTGCTGATCATTGGGGGTAATGTTTGGGGATGTTAGTTTGTGTGTTTCATGCTTTACTATGTGTTTTGGGCCTCTGGAATAAAACGGAATGCAGCATCCCTATGGGCAGATGTGGGCGCAAATCCTCGAAATCGCGGAGCATCTGCCAACGTAGATGCCAGAAACCGAATTTGACCTTGGTCACTAGGCCATTTGGCGGTCCTAGCATTCATGGAATGGAAGGGTATGTCTCGAGACGATTCACAGGAGAGAGCAGTTTGATGTTATGGGAATTCTGTGCGCCGCGTGGCTGCATTTGGGTGGCCATGTCCATATCCATATTGGAGAAGGCATGGTAGATAGGGCATAGCTGTTAGCTGCCGTGGAGCACAGTTTTGTATATCAACCGTTTTAAATTATTGGGAAAGTCAGCATCGTATTGAGTCATAGTTGAGTTATGCTTTCTTTTAGTTCATTTGCGGAGATGGGGGCAATTTACCAATTCGCTTCCGCAGCTGCATCTACGCCAGATGTATGTGTCATCAAAATACCTTCAATCGGCTTCTTGGCATAAAAGCACTATTGAATAATGGGCGTTTTAATTGTGCGTGAACATATGTATCTTGGGAACTAGCTTGTAAACAATAAGGTTTTCAAAGGCATTGCACAGGATACTTACCGGATAAACTGAAAAATTACAATAAACCGAAACTATTCTCCACCCACTTCAGAATTGGTGTGAGCGGTTGCTAGTCGATTTCACTGTATAAAAGTGTATCCTTGTCTATGTGCGTGGCGGCCATGGCTAGCAATGGACCAAAAATGCCTCGAAGAAGTACAACACCGTGCAAGAAAGCCAGTAATGGATTTTTATAAACCCATCTTGCATAGAAGGACTGAACTGCCCTAATCTATTTCCTATGTGCTACAGGCAGCCAAGAGGTGATCTCATCCTGGTCCACAAGATAATGCACGTCCACGAGCATGGACTGATCTTTGAGGACATGTTTCAATGGCACTTTTCAACCTGTCTTCCTGGCCACTCGATGAAGTAACGCACGACAATGCCCTGGCTAAGCCATCGCTCTGCATTTTTCACGCAAAGGGTAGTGGAGAAGTGAGATGATCCTCCTCTGTCGGTCGTAGAGGCGACGTACCCTTGGATAATTATTTCTGCCCTCTGTTTTCCCTAGACAGCCTGAACCTGGACGAAGTACCCCGCAAACCCTAAACGTACTGTTTATAAAACAATGCTACTTAAATCTTGCGAGCACTATTTTAATAGTAATAGTTTCATTATGCGTGTACAGCCGTATCATACGAGCTTGCATGTGAACAATGAGGTCTTCAAAGGCACTGCCCGTGTCCTTAATTTTCACGACCGTGTTGCGCATAGTGGCTTTGGGTCAGAGTGCAACAATGTGCTTGGTCGCCACTACAACATCCCTGATGTATGGCACAGCAAAAAAGGCACAAAAAGGCCCAGGCTGGACCTCCGCTCTGAATTTTTTACAATAAAGACAGTGGATAAATGGAATGACCTCCTTCAGTCAGTCTTGGAGGTGGGATCCCTGCAGCTCTTCAAGAAATCCTTGGATGATTATTTGTTTTCCCTCGACAGTCGGAACCTAATCCAATTCACCCGTGATCCTCAGAAAGTTGGCATTAAAAATCAACGCTACTTGCGTCATGCGAGTGCAATTTTAATATTGAGAACTCTCATTGAGTGTATATTTGTATCTAACGGACTGGCATATAAACGATAGGGGTTTAAAAGTCATTGCCTAGCATTCCTGCCAGATATATTGAGTCATGCAATCAGATGACATCTTTGTATACTTGGGTGGAATATGATACCACTAAAACCAATGTGGTGCTTCAGACATTAAAATAACTCTTGCAATACATGAATTAGTAAGAAGTTTACTCAAGACCAACCTCACATAAGCATTCTCCTGTGGTCTACCTAGGATAGATCTAGTCTATTGACTTGGGGTTTTGTGAGAAAAGCGCTCTCTGACAGAACTACGGCATGAGAACAATACTGGAACAAGGTCAGTAGGTCATGGGAGAGTTTATGACATAAATGGCATGGATAACTATATTTAACACCTCGCAGATATCTAGCTGATATTACATCCAGTCAAGACGAGGTCAGTCTCATTAAATCCTGTAATACTCCATAAGTGAGGATCTTGTAGGTAACAGACACGTCGAATGGCTTAGTGACCAAGGTCACATTCGGTTTCTGGCATCTACGTTAGCTAATGCACCGCGATTTCGAGGATTTGCGCCCACATCTGCCCATAGGGAAGCTATATTCCGTTTTATTCCAGAGGCCCAAAACACATAGTAAAGCATGAAACACAAACTAACATCCCCAAATATTAAACCCAATGATCAGCACGGAGCAGAACTGTGTGACTTTTTTTTATTATAAACGGCAACATGCTGACATTTGTTGAGTGTGTCTTCATCCACCTGGGAAACCATAATCAGGGTGGAATAAGTACTTAAGCAGTATGCAATACTTACGTTGACTGTCCATGAATGTACTCATTTACTTGAAATGGCACACTGATTGAAATCTCTCCCACATGTGTGACGGTCCGACCGTCGATTCCGATGAGGTGCACTACATGCCACAGAACAGTGTGGACGCGGTGACTGTAAATTGAGCGTGAATTAATTTATATTTATGGTAGACTTGTGCAGCACCCGTCGCATTCTCTCCTTCCTCAGCCACCTGGGCCCGGTATCAAGATGGATTCGAAGAGACCAAAGGCAGGATTAGATGCAGGGGGATGGCACGACGAGAGCTTGTGTCTGGGTGTGTCTCTACAGCCCTCCTCTGTGTGGCACGCGTTTGGTATGCGCATCCCTAATAGCGCCTGCAGTGCCCCGATCTGGTTCTCGGTAGCACAGAATCCCCGCCACATCAAAAACTCTCCTTTGTGAATCGTCTCGAGACCTAACCCTCCCTTCCATGAATGCTAGCACCCCCACCAACACACAATCCATTCTAACCTTGTAGCGGAGTGACCAACAACTCTACGGTCTCATTGATTGCAGGTAAGTCCAGTTGATGGATAGTCCAGAAACCGCATTAACCAAGTCCAGGACTTTTTCATAATCCATGAGCTAGGATGCTGCAAGCCCGAAAAGTGAGATTCTGCAGAACACTGATGGACTGGCTGGTTTATATACGGCCGATTGTGTTACATGCCCTCAGCTCCAAAGAAGACGAATGATCTGTATATTCATATGGTTAATACGATAAATAAATGTTACTGACACTTACCAAGTAGTATAATAGACTGTAAACTTAATAGTGTATCTCCGGTCTAACGGGGGTGAAAAGTGCACAATAGTGACTTCGCAAAGGAGGAAAGGACATGCTAGGCGCTAGACGACAACACATTGGCATGGTAATCTAAAATTGACAATGGATATTTCACAAGCAGAAAGTGGGATATTAGGGAACTCGGCGGCGTGTATCTTTTCAGCCCTACGCTAGGCTGATCATCATACGCTGCTAAAGCACTTTCCTTAAGAAATAAAGAGAAAAAGTGAACAACTAGTCACAATTAAGTATTGGCTGTCGAATAGCGTACCATATCTGCGATTTGAGTCCTATTAACTCATGTAACGTTCTGCCCGTGTAGCTCTAAATTTTCTGTTCATACGGAAACAGTAAACACATCGGATTTGATCTCTAGTGCTTGAACGACACTTAAGTGGATAGGGTCGCTGAATTTTCGTCGGGTACGGGGCACGATCGTCTCTGGGGCGAGTATTCCAATTTCTGATTTTGCACAGAGGACCAACGAGCACGAACGTTAGAATGATTCCCAACATCTACGCCAAAACTTTGACCGTCTCAGAATCTCAAAAAAACGACCTTGGGTTTTACTACTAGTGATATGGGAAAGAAAGAGAGAATTGTTCACGGGGCGGGATGTAAGGACATAGTGCGCAACACAACCTGCTCGATCTCTATTCTTTCCTCCTCCTCCTCCTCCTCCTCC